CACAACCCACCGCCGGCTCTACGTCTAACAGAAAGTTTTCAAACGTACGTAGTTCTGGTTGATGCTTAACGGACTGATTTACGTAAGAGTTGTATTCCAACCATATGTCATCGTCTGCAAAGATGTAGTAGTGGTAGTTGATGTTTCTTTTCAAGGCCCGTTGGTACAATGCGTTTCTACCTGACGACCAAGTGGTATTGGGACCGTAAAAGTACTGAATGTGATCTACAGTCGTTTCTTTGTCACACTTTGTTTTAAAACTTAACACAAGAACATCACATTTACAACCAGTCGAGTTTCCAAGAACTTGYTGTTGCGTTAAATAAGTTGGTAGGCATTGCTCAGTTTGTATTAAATAGAGAAATTTCTTTTGCGTGTTTCCAGTTGAAGAAGAGAAACAGCGATATGAAAGACGGGGTGAAAGCCATTTCTGTAAAGCAAAAAYGACCGAGAAAGAAACAAGAAAAACGATTTGCTTCTTTTTAACCCTGAACATAGCAATACGAGTACTTGTGTCTGGCTTCTTCAATTCATTTATTTCTCCTGTCCGGCTGTTGTGTGGTTGTGGTTGTTGAGTTGACTTGGAAACCAATTCGTTTGRTCAAGCATGTGTCTKCCTCCCCACATACGTCTCTAACTGTCAAGGGCTTTCTATCTTTTTATGGAAGCCAGAAGAGGATCGGAAGAATGGAAGCGAATGAGGAAGAGTCCCTTCTTTTTCTAATTTTTTTTTTTTTTATAAATCGTTACAAAGAAAGAACGATCATTGAAGAGTTGCCCGTGGGACTATGGTTKTGATARAGGGTGTTTTATTCACCTTTATGAAATGATTTCAGACAAGTGAACTCGCTGATTATGGAATTGGATAGATTTGATTTAATTTGTATTTAAAGACATATAGGTATTGCTGAGCGCGCGCGCATCAAACTTTTCCCGCGCTTTTCAGTAGGTGTTACAAATGAAATGAAARAGAAGTTAARACTTTAAAACAATAAATGAGTGACTTGCCAAGTGAATTGATTGACTTTTCGTTAATTAGTTTTGTTTATTGATTTCAACGGTTTTTAAGTATAGTTTTAAACACGAGAGAGACGATCTCGAGTGTTTTAAACGGCTTAAAAAACTCCAACACTAATTTGAAACTCAAATCCGTTAAAATTGTTGGAGAAATTGCCGTACAAATATGTTCAGAGATAAATGGAGCAAACTGATCATGCGCGAATCACTTTACAAAGCACTCTTGTCATCCCACATTGAAAACTCATAAAGTAAAATAGAACCACTCTTGGCTGTTCACTGAAATCGGTTGACATCCTGCATTGGTCAATGATCAGGTTTCAAACCTGATACCTTTGCTAGGGTCATGGACCTTTATATCTGATAAAGGTCACCCTTATTAGTATTCTTTATATAAAGAATACTAATAAGGAGTGTTTTATCAGATATAAAGGTCCATGTATGTGACCAAATAGGCTCATTCTATTGGCCTAGTAGCTCATTAATTATGTATGAGTTTTTTAAGTGATCTTTTTAGTATCAATGTCCATGATACGTTAGGAGGGTAACAAAGAAAATCTCTCTGTACGAATCGTGACAGTTATATCTTGAATTTAGTGAATTTGACTCGTTGTTTTATTCATCCCATACTACATTAACCAGTTGCTTCATCATCAGTTATTGTAAAACCGCCATCTTCGCTGTATTTCGATTGTATTGGATTGTAGATTGATTCCGTTTAACAGTGTTTAAGAGAATCACGTGTACCCAGATTTCATGCTTCCGCCATCTTAGCAAAACTTATGGATGGTTAGCTTCAGTCTGTTTTTTTTTCTGTAGGGACTTTGAAAAGAATCCCAGATCACCTTTAAAGAGAATTTTTAAACAAACCAAACAATGTCCAACTTCGGACTGCATGATGCAAGTTATCCTTTGATTTGAAATAAACCAATAGAATGGCTAGCAATCCAATTTCGCAAGGCGGCCATGTTGGATACAGTAAGCAATACAAAGATGTCAGTACAATTCTTATGTGCTCCACCACTCAGCGAAGAATTTATCTAAATCTACTTTAAGTGTTGTCATATTAAAGACGTCACTTAATGATTTATAACCAATAAGTTGATATTCCTTAAAGTGGTCATATGGTATAATAGGGTGGTGTGGTACTATTTCCATACAAGTCGTATGACAATACCCAAAACTATGTTCGTCTGGTGATTTCATGTAGCTTTTAACAACGAAATGATCACGAAACTTTTCGGGCATTGCAGACATTTCTCTATCAAGAACATTTTTGAYAACCTGTCGTTCGTGAGTCATATTTTGGGGGTATGCTCGATGTAAAAGATTAAAAAYATTGATGCCTGGATACATAACTGCTTGACCTCGAAACTTTATTTCGATGGCGATAGTAATGGCCCGATGGGAATACCACCAACTTTCT